AGGGGTGGATTAAAGGAATTGGGACGTAGGGATGGGGTGTGCCTTTCTTGGCTTTTTCTTTAAGTTCTCTCTCTTATTTTATTTTTTTTCATACCCAGTCTTGGGGATAGATGGAGGGTTTTCGGTTTCTTGACGTGTTATTCTACACCCCCTCCCCGAACACAGACCTCCCATTGCTTCAGTCATTACTTACTCGCTCCCTGATTTGATTTAACGTGAATTAAGACAAACAACGTGTCAAATGCTGTACACGAAATGTCTCTGATATCCTGAATCTTTCATTACGAAAAGTTTCTGAAGGCTTAGTCGGGTTTATATAACCATTTAGTGGGTTAACGTTACCCGCCCATGCAATAACACCAAGTTGTAGTTCAGCTTGATGTGCAGAATTATAAAGAATGTGAGCTAGAAGCTTCGATGGCCTGTTTCAGCTAATCGCAGGATTGGTTGGTCCCCTGAGAAGAAACCTCGGAATAGCTGATGACCCGATTAAGATTCGAACTGGTACAACATCAACACAGACCTAGAGTAAAACCTCCGCTAGTCCCTTTAGCGTTAACTCAGAGAAGCTTTGACCTTTCCCAGTAGCGAATAGTCAATAGTCAATGAAGGTCCCCTTTTTTGAAACCTATGTTTACAAGAGCTCGCTTTTCGATCCTATCTTGTCATTTGCATGCAGTTCACATTCTCACGTCGTGTTTATTTATTCTCCTTAACACTGCTGTAATTGGATAAGACTAGTGACGTCATCATAAACTCTTGTAGGACATTGTGCCTTGTTTTCGCTTTCCTTCTTCCACTAATAAGAAGATGCAATTGTCTGATTTATTCGTCAGGTGTTAATTGCTTATTCATTGTGTTTCTCTTAACAGGTTAACGACATCACTTCGGAGCTGTGAGGTGCCCCAGCGGTTGGAGCACCAACGTGTAAGTGATATTAATTTTGATTCTCACGTTTATAATGCCATGTGATGTTCATGTTGTCTTTGCTGATACTATCAACTAAAGTCGCGTCGAATATTCGACAGAAACGTCCTTGAATGAGAATCTTAGACACGTGCTCATTACACTCATTGACTTGAATAATATGAATCGCTTATTTTAGCCTTCGGAACCTTTTAAAAGACAGCGCTAATTTGTAGGCTATATACCAGTTGGGCAAGGCCGTGGTCTAGGCAACACGGAGTTTTCCTCCGTGGCATCCCAACAATTACTCCATTCACACACAGAAGAAGGCAATGGCAAACCACTTCTGGATCATCTGCCAAGAACGTATATGAACAGGTCCCAGTCCGAGAAAAGGATGGAAGGATCCTGTTCATACGGACCTGTCGTCAGACAGAACACTGAATAAATAATAAATATACCAGTTGCTGGAAAATTAATTATTTTTGCATTTGCCCACGGAGTGCATTTATTAGTTTTGTATTATTCTCACAGATAAACTGATTATTTTCTTGAACAGCGTTAACCAGTTGATCTTATTAGTTGAGAAGAGTGTTTTGTTTCTGGTGCGGTGAGAAGCGTTGAAGAATCTACACTTTTTTCAAAATGCTAACTCTAAAATTATAAGTAATTTACAGATATACGGTGAAATTACTTGAAATTATTTTATAGATTATACAGAAAGTACCTATATTTTTTACATATATTCTATAGTAATTAATGTTATTAATTAGTTGGAAATGTTATTAAGATTTCCAACATTTCTTCTCGTGCTGTACAGCAAGATCTGTGCTGCCCTCTTTGTGTGCGTTATGTCTTGAGTTTTGAGGAGATATTATAACACGGGGGAGCTGCGAAAATTAATTAATTACACGACCCCTCTCTCCCCCCTCCCCTTCCCTGTAGCACTTTCAGTAGAAACTCTGTTCACGTAAGTGTAGACTTCAGACTGAAACATCTTCAGGTCTACCTACACTTCTGGCTACCCGCAAAACAAAACTGAATTTAATATATGCTCTTCCTTGTGAGATTTATACAGCGTTAAAACGGAGGAGAGAAATGTTTACTTACAAGTGCTACTTTGGTCTAATTATAATTTTAATATGTGGAATTGTAGGGTTGCTAAAAATTAATTATACATTTTTATAAATTCCTTCGAACGAGCTAATAGTCTTGATGAAATAACGTTGAATCAGTTTATTCTAAGTTTAATATACGTTTAAGTAAACTTGCCTGATGGTTCTAGAAATATCCAATCGACTTGAAGACACCACAATATAGCCTTTCTTCCTTGGTTCAGTGACTTGGGGTTGAGACAC